TCTCTGGCCCCCATCCTCAGGGAGAGATCTTGTAGAATTCTACTCATTACAGTTTTACAACAGCAAAATCCCTTAACCATAAAGTAACATTAACACACATAATCTAAGAGGAGGATTGATCATTCACACACACTTCTAAGGGGAAATGGACTGCTCTCTCCCTGGTGAGAAAAATATGGGTCTCCACCCCACCACAAAAAAATCCCAGGATGCCCCAGAATGCAGTTTCTTTTCCTCATGACGTGTTGTAAAGCACGTCAGCTGCTCCTTGTTGCTGTGCAGATCACCCAACATCGGGTCACTGAGACAGAAGGCAGCGCTAGCTCACACAGCTGATAGGATTAGGAGATGGTGCTTTGTCAGCCTTGACTGAGTCCGGAGAAGCCCTCAGCATACACACGCAGGTGAGCTGTGAGGGAGAGCAGAGGTGGGGGGGGGTACTGCAGTAGGTCTCGGTTGTATGGTGGAGATGTTTTCTCTTTGCAGTGCATTTATATATATTGTCTTTTCTCTTAAGTTTGCAGGCTGGGGGGTTCCTATCAATAAAAACCTGTCCTTTTTCACTTCTTTAATTTTAGGAATTGGCCACATGCACCTCATAGGATTTTTGTGAGGTTCAAGTGAGGTTCTAAAAATAGAACTCTGAAAATATAAAGTTTTGTATAAATGAAAGAGATTATTCATTTGATAACTATAAATTTCACATAAACAAAGAAATAATATATCCTAGATTTGGGGGGCATAATTACCTGCACATTCTTCTTTTCTCCCCAAACTATAACACCCTATCTTTCCAGTTCCTTCCCAGGCCTGGGCATGGATATTATTTATAATCTAGATGGGTTCTAGTCTTCTAAAGCAGCTGATATTTTCTAAAACCTAGCATTACACTCATCTCTAAAGGAGAAACCACAAAATTACAAAACGAGACTACAAAATAAGTAAGTAGAAATGGAAAATGATGCATGAGAATATTTTAAAGCAGATGAAAGATGAATATAATATGCTATAATAGATTATATCTCTTTGGTGGTATAATCCAAACGTTGTAAGACATTTCTGTTAATGACATGAGAAACACTTGAATGAAATTAAAGGCAGCATAGATATTATCATTTGTAAAACTTGTCTTTTAGAACAGCAGAAAAACAGGCTTGGGTTCCAAAAGTACAGAGCTAAGAGACGTTAGAACACTAAATCATCAGCCTTTCCCTTGGCAGGGTTGCTATGGTGACAACGGGGCTACTGCACAGCCTCTCACTGCCTGCACTTCTGCAGTAAAAGCTTTCACTGAACACATGTTGGGTTTTTTAGGCACACACCCCATCATCAAATACAAAGACATATTGGAAGCAGCTTTATCTGAGTCATTTGCAAAACAGAAGTTGCCTATTTTCTTTACCCTGTACTGATGGACTTCTTATGGGCTTATAGAACTCACTCATCCATCACCATTCGACTGTTGTATATTGAGTGCCTTCTGTATGACAGGACCTGTACTAGGTACTGCCTGTGATCCCTGGCGAAGACAGACAAATAAATAGGGAATTCTTATACAAGATCTTAACAGCTCTCCTGGGGTGAATTTAAAACAGGTGTCCTGGAAATATGTAAGGACTGACCTTGGAGGGTCAGGGGAGGTTTTGTGGAAGAAGCTGTTTCTAAAATGAAACTTAATGTATCTTTAGGAGTTGAAGGGGGTTAAGGGGAGTCAAATGCAAGAAATGCTTTAGACGGAGGGACCAGCATGTAAACAGTTTCGAGGAAAAATAAAACATGACACCTCCAGAGAACTGAAAGTTCTACAGTTTGAGGGTTATCCATTTGTAGGTGGAGCAGAGGTTGGGAAGGGGGGACAGAGAGGAGGAGTAGGTAAGGAGGGAGGATGGTGGATGAGGAATGGTAACAAATGAGATCAGAGAGGTAAAGAAGGCCAGATCATGAAAGGCCTCTGTGCCACATTCAAGAATTTGAATATTACTTAGAGGACACCTGAGAAGTGATTAATGAGTTTTAATGAAGAAACATGGCTTGATTTGGCCATTCAGAAAGGCCTTGTGGAAAAATTTAAAAACTGGCAAGAAAGGAATAAGAGGCACGATTGGGAACAAGACAACTTCTGTTAGACCACTACTGCAATCATCTGGGATGTTTGTGGTTTAGACTCTAAATGCAGATAATAGAGTGGAACGGTAGACAGAAGAAATCAGATTCAAGATATTATTACTAGAGTATCATGGAGATGACTTGGTGGTTTCTGTGGGGGCTTTATGAGGGAGAAGAAAAAGTCAAGAATGACTCCGAGGTTCTGATTTGGACAGCTCAGTGGGGAGTGTTTCTACTATGAGGCCCCCAGACTCAATTCTCAATTCTCAGTAGTGAATTCAGAGGCACATTTTGGCCTTAACAGTGCATTTCTATATCATACTACATGTCCTTGGGCACATAATTTTGGAAATAATAGACTGTAGGAATCATCACTTTTCTGAAGTCCTTATCCAAGACAATGTGGGTATAGAAAGTATGAATTAATCACCCCCTCTTTCCAAATAAAGAACCCTAAGACTACCAGGCTCACTGCTTAAGAAATCTAAGTAGATTGAAAAGTCATGAAGATGTATGTGATAAAATTTCTTTAGGAATATAGGAAAAAGACAAATTGATTTCTCTAATGCTCTGATTTCAGGCTCTCTTTGGACTCACACCGCACATTCCTAGATTTGAGATTTGAGGACTCGGAAAAATGCTGTCTGCAGGGCAGACAGATGGGGATGGTGGTGGTTCAAATATAATTTTCAAGGATTATAGTCCTCCTATGTACAACACTGTGTGTAAGGATCAGACTGTGTCCTGTCCACATTACTAAGAATATCCTCCAATTCTGAGTAAAGGACATCTGTTATTATATATGTTGACTTGCGTAAGATTAACTGTAGTAATTGTAATAAGTAAGGCCCATGACCCAGCTGATGATGTCTATTTTAAGTCCTCAGTTGGACAGATTTCAAGCTTTTTGAACAAATTTGTATGTCTCACAAATGCTTTTTCTGTCATGTGAGAGGCCTCAGCAAATACTGAATGGGTGACCTGAACGTGACTTAAGTGCCCTTTGGAAAGTTCTGTTCAGTCAACTGTTTTGGGTACAACTGTTTTATTTTCCTCATCTAATCCTCACAGCTACCTTCGAGGTAGATACTATTGTTATCCCTCAATTAAACGAGGGTAAACTTGAGGTTCAGAGAGGTCAAGAACTTTAAGGTAAAGGCATCCGCTGGAAGAGAGTAGTAGTGCGCTGGGTTTCTGAGTTCAGGTGTAGTGCCCTTCCCATAGCAGTGTGCCCCGGGGCGCATCCCCGGCCACCGCTTCAAGGCAGAGATGGAGAAAAAAGACTGCCCTCGCCTTTAAACAGCCTGGCTCTCCAAGCCCTTGGGAACCGGCCCCGTCGTTTTTTCCCTGCACTTTCTGATGTAAATCCCCCAAGGAGAATCTCGGCCTTTGAGATCCTTGCAAGAGCTGCTGTGTCAGTCCTGCAGCATTGGCTTGGCTGGGGTCCGGGTGCAGGGGGACCCGCCCCATCTCTCTCGGGCGAGGTAATTGTGGGGAGCCGTATGTTGACTAAAAACCCGAGAGGGCAGGGAGGGGCCGCGAGGGAAAAAACTTTCTCCATTTTGGCTCTTCGTGATATCGCAGTTTTTCTCCGTTTTTCTCTCAGACTGCACCCCTTCAAACCGGACCCTAAGGTGCCAAAGCGAGGGGGTCGGGCACCTCCAGGCTGGAGATGTTCGGAGCCCCGGCCTGCCCGCTTCGGGTCGGGCTCAGCAGAGCGGGAGGGGCGCGCGGTACTAGGGGCAAGTGCCGGCGGCGAGGTCGGGCGGGCGGACCCGACGAGCCGCCCGGGGTCCGGCAGGTGACCGGGGTGGCGGGGAGGAGGCGGCGGCGCCCGGGGAGCGGCCGCGGGCAG